TATTGTCTCTCTAGATCCTGCAAACAAAGTGTGGGAAAGTCCTGAAGTGTTCAGTAGTTTTCCCAACGCCAGCATTCATCACAGCGTTTTGGATGATTCCACTGTCCTCATGCCAAGAATCTCTCATTCATCATCACTTCCAATTATCAACTTTATCGTCCTTCAGTTTAACTGCTGGCGCTCTTTGTGTGTTTGTGGTAGTTTGACGCACCATGTAGAGAAAGCTATACAGTAGTCAACACACATACAGTTGAAGTTAGAACGATTAGCCCCCCGTTTATTTTTTAATTTATTTTTTAAATATTTCCCATATGATGTTTAACAGAGCAAAGAATTTTTCACAGTATGTCTGATAATATTTTTTTTCTTCCGGAGAAAGTCTTATTTGTTTGATTTCGGCCAGAATAAAAGTAGTTTTACATTTTTTAAACACCAATATAAGGTCAAAATTATTAGCCCCTTTAAGCTATATATATATATGGTTTACAGAACAAACTATCATCATACAGTAACTTGCCTAATTACCCTAATCAGCCTAGTTAACCTAATTAACCCAGTTAAGCCTTTAAGTGCCACGTTAAGCTGTATAGAAGTGTCTTGAAAAATATCTAGTCAAACATTATTTACTGTCATCATGGCAAAGATAAAAGAAATCAGTTATTAGAAATTAGTTATTAAAACTATTGTTTAGAAATGTGTTGAAAAAATCTCTCCGTTAAACAAAAATTGGGGAAAAAAATAAACAGGGGGGCTAATAATTCTGACTTCAACTGTATATTTAACTTTTAAAAACATTTTGAATGTAGAGTTTGTAGCTTAGGAATCACGTTTCAGAAAATGCATCCATTTTATTGTGCATGCTCTGTTCAGTACATCAGATAAAAATATATATAAAAATTTGTGCTTGGCAAAGACTAATCGCGTTTAAACGCATCCAAAAAAAAAAGGTTTGTTATATATATATATATATATATATATATATATATATATATATATATATATATATATATATATATATATATATATATATATATATATATATATATATATATATGCGTGTGTATGTTGTATTTTTATTATTTAAAGACAAATACTCAAATGCAGCCATGTATTTGCTTTTTATTTATTTATATTTAGATATAAAATATAGATACATGACACAAATTATATAAATTATTAAATATGTATGCATAAACAAGATTTGCATGGTTTTGCTATAATGTGTGTGTGTGTGCATTAAATATATATAATAAACATATATAATACATGCACATATCTTTTGTGAAAACAAACTTTTATTTTGGATGTGATTAATCACAATTAATTTTTGCACAGCACCAGTAAAAATATTAAAAGGCAACACAATTATTTTTATTTGATTATTATATAGTTTTATACAAATATTATTAATGTAAAGTATTTTAAAATTACATTAGTAGTTGTATTAGTAATAAAAATAATATTAATTTAACTATATATTATGCCTTAAATATTCATTAAATAATATTAATAGTATTATAATAATTATTGTTATTATGTTGTTGTTACTATATACATATTGATGGTAACACTTTATTTTGAAGGTCCATTTGAGTATTGGTAGACTGTCTGCTTAATATCTGTTGTTACTGCTCCTACAACAAACATGACTATAAGAAACTTTGCAAGTACATGTCAACTTACATTAAGCCTAACCCCAACCTAACAGTCTACTTATAATGATCTAATGAGAATTAGTTGCAAAGTAACTTAAATTCAACAAACAGACCATCAAAATAAAGTGTGACCATATTACTAACTATATACATTTATAATCATTATTAAATTAGTCATTTCAACATTTCCTTAAACACAATAATAATTTAAAAAAACAATCATTCAGAAAATAATATGACATCCCCTCTTAAGCATTTCTGATTTGAAATGTCAGATATATCTTTAGGATTTATGAAAGGATTACCTCTTTAAGATTTAAAACTCTTTCTAAATATGAAAAAATGCATTAAAAAAAGTCCTCTATAGACGACAAATAAGAATAGTGAAGTCCTTTGTGTACAACTGAGCTAAAAGGCTTATTTACTTTTTTTTATTATTTATGTTGAAAATGATTCAAAGATATCATATATTACAGTGTACCAGCTAATACTGGTCTTGACTGTGATCACCATTACAGTAGCTTTAGAAATAAATATTGCCATTCCTTGTGTTTAAATGTGTTTACTCACATTGGTCAAGACACCGTCATTCTTCTCACTGACGCATCCTTGCAGATTAAAGGTCAAGTTGTGACAACTGACCATGATTCTTCGGCCAAATCGTTCTTCAAATGGCTTCACGTCAGGCTCGATGCCTGAGAAATCCAATCTCTAAAGGGAAAGAGGGACATTTCATTAACTCATTTTGCATTCCGCTTTCTATTTTTTTTTTTATTTTAAGATTTATTTTTGGGCTTTTTGCAGTATTGAGACAGGAAGCAAAGTTGGAGAGAGAGAGAGAGAGAGAGATAGAGAGGGGGGGGGTAGAGGTAGGGAAATGTCCTCGAGCCAGGATTTGAACTCAGGACGCCCTGACGTGCACCATTTGTCGGCGCGCTACCGACTGCTTTCCGCTTTGTAATGCAGAAGGTGATAATTGGGAGAAATTGACTAACCTGCACCTCAGGATCGAGGGAGAAGATCTTCTGTCGGCCCTCATTCCTGCTCATTTTACTCAGCTGGTCAGTTTCTCTAGCATACTGAAGAGAACAGGACAAAAAAAATGAAGTGATGCACGGAGTTGAGCACAGTGTATAGAGACCTCATTAACAAGAGTTTTGACAGTCTTTTCTATTCCCTTTCTATTTGTGTCCTTCTTGAGAAAATAAAGGATGAGATATAAGGTTTACCTTTTTTAAGAGTTTTTTCCTTTATTGTGATAGGACAGTGGAGATTTATAGACAGGAAAGTATGGGGAGCAGAGATAGGGGAAGGATCAGCAAAGGATCTTGAGCTGGGAATCGAATTCCGGTCGTGAGCACCTTGGTGCCATGATTCAACACACTAACCACTAGGGTATTGGCACCGCTATGATTTAATGTCATTTTGATTAAATAGAAAGTGGTTATATTAAATATATCTCATTAGACAGGCCTCTTCTTTGTTTTCATTTAAAATAGGTCTTAACTTTTTCATTGGCTTTTGACAGCTGATTTTACAGCACCAACTGATTTTAGTTTATATACTTTTTTGGTTAGCTTAGCTATATTTTACCTTATATATTTAAGTATTTTATATACTATTATGCTTGTTTTGTGGTATATTTCTCTACAGCACTTTGGCTCACTTCTGTGTTTTTTGAAATGCTCTATAAATAAAGTTTGACTTGTTCTGACTTAGCTAAAAATACAAAACAAATATTTATTTACATGGCACTAGTCTGAATTAAACAATGCAGCATGATGTTTCCATTCAAAATTTAAAGCGTATTTTGAGATATTACATGAACTTATGCTACAAATATGTTCATTCAACTAAAGAGGATAACTTTTTCTATACCCGAAGATGAGGTGATTAAAGTGGAAACATGCTTATTGAATAAATATCCATATTTGGAAAATATTAAATATATATATATATATATATATATATATATATATATATATATATATATAATTGGATTTTATGATGTTGAACAGATTGTATAACTCATTCTTAAGTATGCAATTATTTTAAAATAAATGCACAGCTAATGTAGTTCCAGGCAGGATGCATTAGGCCCAGATCACACCGAATGAATTTCTTTGCAGTAAGGGGTGCCTATTTAAAATAGTTTTCTTTTGGCAGTGAACATTTTGCATGCTGTTTATGTGTCCCAGGTGACTCTGACTTTTATCAGAGCACTCTGAATGCCTGCAGTTAAAAAAAAATGAATAAAAAGACAACTCCGTGGAAAAAATCTCCCGATGTCATTAATGGCATTAAGACCATTGATACATTGGTTGCCTAGCAACATGAAAAGCACAACAAACATTTTTTTTGTTTGTTTTTCATATCAACAGTGCGCCTTGTGTTTTCAAAAATGACAAGTGTTCAGTGTTATCGGTTAGGTCTTGATGCCCAATTCCGATTTGTTGCTTATATCTGATTTTTTTTGCCTGTCTGTTTACACGTTCTTTTAATTGTGACCCATATCCAATTAATGTGTTTACACTTGCCATACAATTTACGATGTCGCGCATGCATAAAGGCAGGTTCCGGCATCTCACTATCCACGATGTAAGATATCGTCTTGCTTTTAGCTCTGCAAAATATGCAAAGTTTGCCCAACTTTAAAATGATTTTAAGGTGGAGGAGAAGGGTAAGGGCTGCCATGGCATGGTTTATATATGGTGTCCTTCAGCATTCAGAGGAATTTGTGGGTACGAGAGAGATCTCGGGTCTAGTGGGAACAAATTGTGGCGAATAACCACTTTCTTTCTCCATGTTTCCTCTGTTGTTGTTGTTTACTGCATCAGCGTCTCCAAACACACTCTTCCATCTTCGTCATTAAACCGCGGCGAAGTACCACATAGTTGCAAGTTTAATGGCGTACAAAACAGAATGCCTCAATGAATCCGATCTGCCTGTTTACATGATAGTCCCATTGTCACATATATGATTTATTTCAACATATAAAGGAGGCCTGATACCGATCTCTGAATAACCGAATGCATCCTAGAACAGATCCAATCTGTCACATTTGAGGAATTGGGTCATATTAACTGGAAGTGTAAATGGGGCCTTATAGTCATATTTAACTCAGTACCACAGCATACATCTGTCAAAAAAAATCTAAACAAGGCAAAAGTCTTTACATGATATGCTTAAACATTCCAGTGAAGAGAAAACATTGCTTGCTCAGATGTTAGTATCAGTATGTTAGCCTTAAGGACACCTACAGTATAAGCTATTGTGCTTTAAAACAGTGACAGAATTGGCATTTAGAAGATATAAACATCCAAATCTTACAGTTTGTTACTTCCGCCCGAATAGATCAACCCTTTTTTTGACATCAGCTCATACTTCAGGATCTCATCAAATTCTCTGACCAATAAAATGCTCTATAGCAGGGGTGCCCAAACTTTTTCGTATGGGAAAAAAAAACCATGTCATTGAGAGCTGTGGGCCAAAGGTAATTATACCAATATATAGATATAGATATCACATTAAAGTCGCCATGGGTAATTTCGTAATTTATTTAATAATATTTTTTAAAAAATAGAAAAAAAAATTACTTTAAATCGTATTAACTAATGCAGTATAAAAAACAAATACAAATATCATTGAGAGCCCTCCCTCTCTTCTCAGATAGGGGATTTATCTCTTGGATAAAAAACATCACGGTTTTCAATATTGTGATTACACCTTTAAAATATATTCTTACGTCTGGGTAAAAAACTAAAACTTTTCCCTTTGAACACAATATTTTTTATTTTGAAAAACTTTTATAATATTTTGGATCAAGAGACCTGTCAGGCTAGATAATTCAAATGAATCACTGATTTCTGATGTCTTCATTTGTTTCAAAAACACAGATTTCTGTACAATTTTTTATTATTTTTTTTACTGAAGATACTGTTGTCCTAAAGAACAAAAAAAAACATAAAAAAAAACTTAAACATACCTTAGGAAAGGTATGACAGAAAAATTTGACGGTTTTAATACCTTGACTTTTCCAAACAGCACTATACCTTGAAAACATCCCATGATGCCTAGATGGTGGGCCAACTTATGCCCGTGGGCCCTAGTTTGGACATGCCCTACTTAAAAGGCTTCTAATTTGCTTTAAATTTGATGTACTTGAGCTCAACCACTCTCACTGACAGAGCTGTAATAAAACAAAATGCTATTGGCTGTTTTTTTGTTAAAAAGGGGAGGAGCTATATTTCCCACCCGGTTTTCATGTTTCAGTTGAGATTATGTAACACATCGAATATAATAAATTCACATTTCAAACTTCACTTCACGGGACTTTTAAAAACCCATAAACCCAACAAATGTCTTGACAAAGACCTAAACCGTTGTAATTCCAGTATATGCAGAATGACTGACTCATAACTGTTGAATTATTAGAAAATAAATTACACACAAGTTGTAACAGTCACTCTGCTTCCCATCGAGAACGCATCACCACATCAAGTGTATTATTTTTTAATAATTTAATGGCTTATCGTCAAATATTCAGCACCATTAGCAATCTATACACAGACACTTACAAATGCACAAAGAAGCCCTCAAAGCACTCCAGTCAGCATTGTAATGATATGATGTCAAGTACCTTCATCAGCTCAGGATGAAGACTCCGGCCGAAGCTCTCGGTGATGCTCTCTGGTTTCCCCTGACTACTGCTGTCGTCATCTGAGGGAAAGAGACACTTGCTGATCAAAGGGCAAACTCACTCGTTCTGCATGCATAACTGACCACAGGTTTTATTATTATGCAATGCATCAGGCGAATATAGGCTTATCTTAGAAGTGTTGACCGTCATGGTTGACTGGTAATTTTAAGCGGTAAAAGTCTAAATGACATATTAGCTGATTAACGTGTCAGACATATTTAAAAGTCAAATGAGTTTATGCTTAACTTTTGAGTCTATTGGAATAAAAAGTTGCATCAGTGACTACAAACGTGTGCATGTGTGTGTGAAAAACTGTGTTAAATCAGGGGCACTATAGATGGAGCTTTCCAGAAACTCAGCTGCCCTCATTTATTCATGTGCACACACACACTAGAGAGGGTGGGTTGCTTGTGAGGAGGAACATTTTTGATTTATAAACTGGTACCCATGAATAGGATATACTTAGATCACAGGTTTTACCTAATGGATGTTGTAGATAAATGTATTAATTAATACCAAAGGCAAAATATCTGCCTCTTTATTGATGATTGTGGCCTAAATAGTTTAATTAAACTCAGGTTGTAATATTAACATTATCTGTTCAAGTAATATTCAGTTAATATTGTTCTAAAAGATGTGCTCCTTCAACCACCAAAAACATAACACTGTCTAAATATAAGCTATAAAGTATATTTAACTGAAGTGTCTATTATAAAAGTCTCTACTATAATGTTTATAATGTTTGTGAAAATTAAAATCTCAAAATATGAAATAATTTTCCATCGTCATTCAGATATATTTTTTGTTAATGTGAAACGTTTATCCTGTCTTTTTTTTTTTAAATAAAAGTAACCATCATAAATTTCATGTCTTTATATATATTTAATTTGTTTGAGAAATAGGTGGAAAACAACAATTACTACGTATTTTGTTGCAGCACTGTGATATATGCCATCAAATAATTCTTGTTCTAAATGTGGCAAAAATATTTTTTTTATATAAAATTATAAAATAAAACGATATAAACTAAAAAAAAAAAGTAAAAAAAAATTCAATAAATTAACTTAAAATGAAATGCAATGAAAATAAATTAAATTAAATTAAAATAAATAAACTAAATAAACTAACCTAAAATTAAACTACAATTAAATAATAAAAATATAAATATAAATATTTAATGAAACTAAATAAACTAATTAAATTTATTAAATTAAATTAAATTAAAAGTTAAACTAAAAACTATATTAAAATTAAACTAAATTAACTAATTAAATTAAAATTAAATTAACTAAAACGTAAACTAAACAAACAAAAATTAAATGAAAATTAATTTAAATTGAAATAGGGCGACACGATAGCGCAGTAGGTAGTGCTGTCGCCTCACAGCAAGAAGGTCACTGGTTCAAGCCTTGGCTGGGTCAATTGGCGTTTCTGTGTGAAGTTTGCATGTTTGCGTGGGTTTCTTCCGGGTACTCCGGTTTCCCCCACAGTCCAAAGACATGCGGTACAGGTGAATTGGGTAGGCTAAATTGTCCATAGTGTATGAGTGTGTATGGATGTTTCCCAGTGATGGATTGCAGTTGGAAGGGCATCCGCTGCATAAAACATGTGCTGGATAAGTTGGGGGTTCATTCCACTGTAGCGACCTCAGATTAATAAAGGGACTAAGCCGAAAAGAAAATGAATAAATGAATGAATGAATAAATTGAAATAAAACTAAATTAAACTAAATATACTTAAATTTAATTAAAATTAAATTAACTTAAATTTAAACTAAAATAAATAAACTAAATTAAACTAAATTAAAATTAAACTAAATAAACTAAAATTAAAATAAAATTAAACTAAATTGAAATAAAAAAAATTAATTGTAATATAAATAAAAAAAATTTATTGTAATATAAATAAAAAAATGTAAACTGTGTAATGCACTTTCAGACTTTTAACTTTTTTGTCATTTTATTTATTTATTTATCTCTTCTACAGTTGTGATTGCTTAACAGATTTGTTAACAGATACTACTTAGTTGCTTAATTGCACCACCACACACACCAAACTACAGATAAGCCAAAACTAACAGTGTCAGTTCAACTGAAATCTGATTCACACCTATTATTATATTATAAAAACGGAGAAGTTACAAACCGAAAGCCTGTTATTAAAAACATAATTTTGTTTCCTCATGACCAGCATATGGAAGGTTTTGAAAACAAAGGCCAAAGTTTACACCACAGACAGTCAGGGAGTTGTTTATCAGGCCAAAGCTCCTCAATGTGAATAAAGCCTCCCTGGTATTTCAATCCTTTGTCATCACAAAGAGAAAATATTGACTCTGAGCCCAGAAGATTGCATCTCTTATAATGCAACAGCGCTGTGCTATTTCTATAATTCAGTGGGTCATATTTATATACAGCCAAAGGTTTAATAGGTTAAAAAAACTACAAATTAATCTGCTTTAAATATGATGTTTGAAATGAGCAGAATGGGAACTAAGCTTTTTTTAGGAAGTAACAAAGAGCAGGGGTTTCCAATGTTGCTTATTATTTGGATATGTGGTGGATATTTGGACATTTTTATTATGAAGAAAGTGGTATGTGTAGCCAGACCAAAGCAAAACAATGAAAAGCCAATTCACCAGGTTTTTTTTTTTTTTAGAGTGACCTCATTTTGATGATGACGCAAGAGTCACTACATCCCTAAAGTGATGTTGGTGATCTCATGATGGATAGCATAACCCTCATAATGCATTTATTTGCATATTGTTTTCACATTCCAGGTTCATTTGGATCTGAATTATTGTTTTGTGAAGCATCCGTCATGATCAGAAGCTTCTCATTAAAGAATGAACGTGAAAATAGTTTTAAATCCTACCAGGATTTACCATTTTATTTAGATATTTACATTTTATTTGCACATTTTTATTTATAAAAAAATTCTTGAAACGTCAAATTCTTCATAAACCACAACAATTATACAATACAATATATATATGTTTTTGCTAAGGAGAAATCTTATTTGAATATATCAATGTATCATATAATGATGTATGAAATTTGCAATAACAATCTGAGAATTTGAATTATTAAATCAACAGGAATGAACTGAATTTAAATGAAACTCCATTTATTATCCAGAATTTTTCAAATACAGACTAAATTTATAAAACAACTATTTATTAACAGCATGACAAAACAGCAGACAGTATTACCCTGTATTCAAACAAACACAGTGGATTTATGAACTTTCCGTGTCTGATTCAATACGTATGAATCAGATCAGTGTTTAATGCAGCAACACTTTATTAGTTAACAGTTAGATTTTCAGATTTAGCATCGACATTCGAAGTCTTAAAGAGTATTAGACATGGAACAAATGCTAAGAATGAAATATGACTATATTTGATAGTATTATTTTAACTTTTTTGTCACTTAATAGTCGTTCATTTTATCCAAAATGACCTGAATGCAAAACCATAACTTAAAAAATAGTTTAAAATAAATTTTAAAAAAAGATTACTTGTATTTTGATGTTCTTAAAGGGATAGCTCACTCAACACTGAATAGTCTGTCATTTACCACAAACCTGTTCAGGTTTCTTTTTTCTGTTGAACACAGGAAAATATTTTGAAAAGAGCCCAAAATTGGTAACCATTGACTTGCATAGTGTATTTGTTTCCTCTATGGAAGTCATTGGTTAACGGTTTTAGGCATTTTAGGTGTTAGGCGTTCACTTTAGGGTAAATTGTACTTTTAAACACTTCATTTTTACTGAACAAAATTTGAGTCACCTAATTAAAACAAAAGTGAAAATTCTGTCATTTACCACAAACCTGTTTGAGTTACTTTCTTTTTGTTGAACAGAAAAGAAGATATTTTGAAAAACAAAAACTATTAACTTCCATTGTGTATTTGTTTTTCCTATAAAAGTCAATGGTTACCAGTTTCAACCTTTCTTTAAAATATCTTCAATTCTGATCAAAAATAGTGAGCAAACAGAGAGTACATTTCACTTTAGGGTGAATTATACTATTAAAACACTTTATTCTTACTTCACAAAATTTTAGTCGCTTAATAAAAACAAATATGAAAATTCTGTCATTTACCTCAAACCTGTTTGAGTTACTTTCATCTGTTTAAACACAAACGAAGATATTTTCAAAAAACGTTGAAAACTTTATCTGGTAACCATTGACTTCCATAATGTATTTGTATTTCCTATGAAAGTCAATGATTACCAGTCACAAACTTCTTCAAAACATCTTTGTTTATGTTCAACAAACTCATAAGGGTTTGGAACCACTTAAGGCGGAGTAAATAGTGAGTAAATTTCACTTTAGGGTGGATTATACCTTTACAACACTTCATTTTTACTTAACAAAATTTTTGTCAATTAATAAAACAAAAGTGAAAATTCTGTCATTTACCACAAACCTGTTTGAGTTTCTTTCTTTTGTTGAAGAGAAAAGAAGATATTTTGAAAAACAAGTTCACAACTGGTAACCATTGACTTCCATAGTGTATTTATTTTTCCTACAGAGATTAATGGTTATCAGTTTTAAGCTTTCTTCACAACATTTACTTTTCTGTTCAACAAACTCGTAAAGGATTGGAACCACTTTAGGCTGAGTGAATAGAGAGCAAATTTCATTTTAGGGTAAATTAAACCTTTAAAACACTTCATTTTTTTCTTCACAAATGTTTTTGTTACTTAATAAAAACAAAAGAGAAAAATCTGTCATCTACCACAAACCTGTTTGAGGTTCTTTTTTTGTTGTTGTTGAACACAAAAGAAGATAGTTTTAAAAAGTTACCCATTTACCATTGACTTCCATAGTGCATTTATTTCTCCTCTTCTATACAAGTCAATGGGTACCTGTTTTATTGTTTCTTCAAAACATCTTTATTTGTGTTCATTCATTCATTTTCTTTTCGGTTTGGCCGCTTTATTAATCGGGTCGCCACAGCGGAATAAACCACCAACTTATCCAGCATGTTTGATGCAGAGGATGCACTTCCAGTTGCAATCCATCACCGGGAAACATCCATACAGACTCATTTAAACACATACACTAGCTTCCAGGTCAAAACGGACACAAATGCATTTTAAGAGTTAATGTTCTGTCCTTATTCATCCACACTAATGTCATTTCCGAACCAGTATATATTGTTATACCATGGTCAAACACAACATGCGATACATGATCATGTGTGCTCATGTTTTCAGTGTGTGTGTGTGCATTATTTACCCAGAGACCCTTCAGACGTTTCTGAGCCATTCCTCCGGTCCTCCATTGTGCTGAGTAAGGCCTGTTTTATCGTGTTCACCCAGTCCTCCATCTCAGCCTCGCTGTCGGCCGCCAGATAGTGACTGTAGCGCTCCTGCATCTTCAGCTCGAAGCCATTGCGCCGCATTTTAGGGCACTGCAGGAAAAGTACTGTGTCAGCCGATGGAGGAATTTAACATGGCGACTTTAAGAGTGGTTTGTGGTTGTAATAATAATGGGTGTTCAGTAAGAAACACTCCTCTGGTTGTGTAACTGATATTACACCCCAGCCTAAGGCCTGCTTTAATGATGTTGTAGAACTTCCTGAGAAATGCATTAAGCCAGATATTTACAAGATAAGCGGGACTGCAACAACCGTATAAGAATGCAAAAAAGTGTGTACCGGAACTACATCTATACAGGAATCCAGATAGATTGAGCCTTTTGATTCTTTGTAGTTCTTCTCATCTTTGTATGAATTTAGTATGTAGGAGCCATCAGGGAGCTGAGACAGGTAGAAATATCTCCTCTTGAACACCTGTGGAGAAAACAAAACGGAAGGTAGAGATAGGGGTACTGTCTATTATTAATAGATCATTTACATCAATATTATTCATTCATTCATTTTTATTCGGCTTAGTCTCTGATTTATCAGGGGTTGCCACAGCGGATTGAACCGTCAACTACTCTATGTTTTTACACAGCGGATGCCCTTCCAGCTGCAATCCAGCAGCGTGCTGGGAAACATAAATCAATTTTAAGTAAAGAATATCTTACAAGAAGACATTTTGTAAATATATCAAGATGTAATGTTTTAATAGGGCATCCCGGTGGCGCAATGGGTACTGGGTAGCACGATTGCCTCACAGCAAGAAGGTCGCTGGTTCGAGCCTCAGCTGGGTCAGTTGGCATTTCTGTGTGGAGTATAAATGTTCTCCCCGTGTTGGCATGGGTTTCCTCTGGGGTAAACTAAATTTTCTGTATTGTATGTGTGTGAATTAGTGTGTATGGATGTTTCCCAGTGATGGGTTGCAGCTGGAAGGGCATCCGCTGAGTAAAACTTATTCTGGATCAGTTGGCGGTTCAATCCGCTGTGGTGAACCCAGATTAATAAAGGGACTAAGCCAAAAAGAAAATGAATGAATGAATGAATGTTTACTAATGTGCATTGCAAATAACTTTAAACTTAATTTTTTAAACAATTAAAGTTTTTCTCAATATTTAGATTTTTTTGAACCCCCAGACTTTCAAATATTGGTGTTTTGGCCAAATTTTGTCTCTCTCAATTTCAAATCTAAACAAATGACACTTGTGATTGGTTTTGTGGTCCATTGGTTTTTCTTTGATAGAGCATTAAAGTAGACTGGAACAAATTCTTCAAATGTGACAACCATGTGTTTTGAGGGTCAAAACACAAACACAGGCTAAAATTTTTAATACACATGTTTCTTAATAATACAATGATGCCTGCGTATAAATACTTTAAAATGCTACATTTGGAGGCACCATTCCAAGGCATGATGGCAAGTCCGAATCTAAATTCTTCTTCACTTTCTGTCTCAAGAGGTACCTTCTTCTGATCAAATTGAAAAGAAGCATAGATGATATCCCACAATCTTGTGCGTACAAAAAAAAACTAAAAAAAAAAAAAAAAAAGGTGCGGTGTCCTGAAGTAGTGCTTGGGTGTCAATTTGTGTGCCAATGTTTGTGTTTGACCAATTTGCCTCATTTGATGGCATTTCTGGTAAGAATTTTGTATTGTAGTTACTTATCACTAGGGCCAGACAGATTCTGAGCACATTTTTTGCCATTTCTGCTGAAAATTTTGTAAAAAAAATCTGCAGATTTATGTGGAATTATTTTGTAAACATCATAACTAAATTAACATCATAACATCATAACATCATAACTATGAAATTTTAAAAAAATACCTTTTTAACTTTTATTTAATGTTTACAATGCAAATCTAATTAGATCCAATTATTTGGCAAACAAAGCAAGTCTCTTAAACAATCTATCTACTAAACAACTTTACAAGACGTACTTTACAAACTGTATTGTAAATAAATCATATGGCCATTTTCATATTAGCCAATAAAGTTTTATTTAAAAACTGAATAAATCCACATTTAAGTAAATAAATAGACTCAATTCAATGATGGGCTAAAAATCTGCAGATTTCTGTGTGCGCAGATTCCGTGTGGGCCTACTTATCTCCAAAGCTCTTTCTATTTTGTTGTACATAATAAAAATTGCTGCCTCCAAAGTCACCACCTGATAGGGCAGAGAGGCAACATGTGAGCCGCCTAAGCTTTCAGACACTGCCAATGTCTTTATTACTGACCAAGGACCAAGTCCAAGTTGAAAATCTTCCTTACAATTCAACTGAGGAAAAAAAATAAGCCACAGATGTACTGAATGGTACAGAATTTTTTTAGGGCCTTAAAACGTTTATCTGAACATTAGAGCATGTAATTACTGAGAGAAGAAAAAAACTTTTAGGGTTTTCCGACCATGGGTTGACAAATTGCACAGATGAGCAGATGTTCACAATATTAAGTAACAATGACTGCTGTCCCTGTGTCTTTTAACACGTATGTGTTTTTTTTCAGTGTTGTATATTTTGCTGATATACAGTATGTACTTGCATTATGCCAAATGTTTTGAAAAATGTTAAAATCTAGAGAAAATTGTAAAATTTAACTGACACACTATTCAAACATTTGCATAGTAGAAAACATGGAATGCGCATGAAAAGCGCAATATAAAGCACAATGGATGTCCTAACACAGCTTCTGAACATCTGTAAACAAAAACTTGCAGTGTTTGCACCACCTTATGGCCCGTTTCCACTGAGTGGTATGGTACGGTACCGTTCAGTGCGCTTTTATGCCCGTTTTCTCTGTCAAAAGATACCCATAAGCAAACCGTACTGTACCACTATTTGGGTAACCTTTGGGAAGACATTAGACTGCAATAATATACAAGCCATAGTCAATCCGAGCTCAAACAAACCTTGTCGGTGTCTTGATAAACAGCCACAAAGTCAAAATGAAGAGCAGAATCTACCCTGTGCACCATAGTTGTTTACAAGGTCGTCTAAATCGCGAGTGGTTTCTCTTTCTCGTGTTCGTTTGCCAGGCACCTATATTTAAAATAACAAACTTCTTGAGCTCATATTAATAATATGCGGGGGTTATTGCAGTGCCTCTGACATTCTTTCAGGAATGGACAAATGCAAGAGTGAATTGCGAAAAAACAAAGGAGAAGCCCGACAAAACAAAGGAGGTAGACTTAAACTTTCTCTCTATACTATTTCACCATTGGTACCCCTTTGGCAATGGAAATGCAAGACTGATAAAGGTGACCCATACCTTACCATTCTGTACTGTACTGTACTGTACTGTACCACTCAGTGTAAATGGGCATTTAGAGTTCTTCAGATTGCTTTACTGCTTTGAAACTGACAGTAATGAACAGCATTGCGTGGTAAAGTTAACTTGAAACGGCATCTAAAAAAACTCACGTGAGTGGCACTTCAAAAATTGCAAAACACAAGCTTAATGGTCACACACATCTGTCAAGCACGTGTTTATATTGTAAAACAATGAACGAATAGTTCATTGGAAAGGAAAAACACACTCTGTGTGTCCGCCTCTTATAACAGAACATTGAAAGGTATTTAATATGATCAAACAGCGCTGCTTCATCTAAACAATCATGAGTGGAAGAACTGGTAGTGGTGGACTGTAGCATGATAAAAGCTCTGCTGCTTTCCTGCTGAGTTCAACTCATCTCTCAGCTTGACAGCTTTCAGCTTTACTCGTTTAGAATATTTAGAGCAATACATTTAGAATATTTCAGCTCATCCTTGAACATGATTTCTGCAGGAGTCCTGTAGGATGCAATATAGACCACAACTCCCATAACTCCACACTCAGTCACAGTCAAACTACGCCTTTGTTTATGTGAATATGCGCTCTCCAGCAGCAAAAAAGACATACTGCTCCTTTAAATACTGTGTCTGTGATTCCACTAACCTTCATGGAAACAGACAAAGAACTGTTGATGTTGGCCTTCTGCAGCCAGCCCTGCTTCATCACACCTCCTCTCTGAGAGCAGAGAGATGACGAATCCTGAAACACACACACACACACACACACACAGGGGGAACAAATTAAGTAAATAAACAAGACTCAGATCAATGCAACTCTATGAGTGCTATCTCTCCGTCTTCAAGATCCAGTGCTTTGACATAAACATAAACAAACACTGATGTAAAAGCACAACTGATCCTCTGTATAGTAACTTAATGTCACACGCACATTAAAGTGACATTGTGATAAAGAGCTGCAAAGTTACATAGCTCATCGTCTTACACAAACAGTATTTATTCCACCAGTATATAACAGAGAACAGACCATGAATCAATCAAAGCTCACAAAGGCTATGTAGTAACTTTAATCCAGCACAATTTTGCCTGAATACATACTGTACTCCGGAAAAGAATGCAAGGCTGATGTTTACTGATTGCAAAGATGTGTTGATTGATCTGGCTGGTCATTCGCATAGTCCCAATCTGACTCTACAGTATATTGAACTGATTTAGTGCAAAAAAAAGTATTGTTTCTGGCCTTTATGCAGAGTTATATGGATTATAGTGTGGAGTATACAGTGATAGAGTGTGAGAGAGACCTTTGCACACTTATCTTGATATGTCTGAGAAAATCAAAATAAGCACTTTAGCTCTCATAACATAGTAAACATAGTGGGCTCTATTTTGACGGTCCATGCGCAGAGCGCAAAACGCAGGGTGCAAACGCTTTCAGGGTGTGTCAGGACGCGTTTTTGCTAATTTAAGGACGGGAAATCTGCCTTGCGTCACGGCGCATATTCTAAAAGGGTTGAATTTATTTTCTTAATGAGTTATAGGTGTGTTTTGAGAATAAACCAATTAGAATTTAATCTCCCATTCCCTTTAAGAGTCAGCTGCGTCGCGCCAAGAGTCTAAGTCTAAGTGGAAAAAATTAGCATTTCACAAGCAAACAGTTAACAGTTTTTTTTTAAAGAAAACTGTTTAACAGAGCATCTACTGCGTGAGAATGAGAGATAATGGAACTACTTTCACTTTCGCTCTAGGATAGGGAAACCTTTACGCACAGACATCAATTAGTCTACAAATAAATACCTTTGTTTGTTAAGCGCAAATATTCGTTTCAAAACTATTTCTAAATTCAGTTCTAATTTCCAGCAAACGAATAAATGAACAATAATAACAAAATAAGCTCAAAAACCTGGATTATATCCTAAAACACATGCGGTGCCCCATATGGTCTAAAACCTGACAGGTGGACAAATCTAAGCTTGTTTTTAATATAACAAATATAAATATGGATATAATAAATAATACTGCTAATAATAATAACATTATACAAAAGCAAATTGTTATGAATGAACTAAAAAAAGCCTCCCGAGATGAAAAAGACATAAAAGCAGTGGTTTTTCATATTTATGTAGGCTAGAAAATAATATGTTTTGTAATATTTTAATCCTTTATATTTATATCCTATATCTATTCTTATTATATCCTATATATATCCTTAATATTTAAATTTTTTCATATGTAAAGATATTTGCCCATCGCTCTCTTGTGCGTATTAAGCAGTGCGTAAGCGAGGAGTTCTGCGCCGGAGTTTAGACTGGGTTAGTTTTGGTCTAATGAAAAATCTATTATAGATTCTCAAAATAGCAACGCGCCAGCGGTCCGCCTCAGAACGCCTTCCTTTTTAGACCAGAACGCCTATGGGCGCAAAAATGAGCGCTAATGCATTTGCTATTTAAACAGCGTAGCGCAACGCCTCAAAACGACTCTTATGCCAAGCTGAAACTACCAAAAGACTACTGCGCCACGCCTTGCGCCACACTGCGCCAGGTGTATGATAGGGCCCAGTAAGTGTGTTATACGCACACCCTATAATTAGTTGTTTTACTCTATAGAACTAGAAACTAGAAGCTAGAAACCTTTTTGCACAGGCTTATCTAAAGAGTTAGTGGTGCCAACTGATGACCAACAGTAAAAATTATTCATTTGACCTCTTCCCAACATTGGAAATCACCAACATTCACGATTATATGCTGTCAGGGCTTTGCAATCAAAAAATGTCATTATAACGGATGTGGGGCAAAAACAGCTACTAACATAACAAAAGGGTAGTCAACTTGAACAATAGACAAGTTGCTAAAAAAAAGCATATAAAGTAAAAAAAAACATGTTGTTCAGTTATTTTTATTTGTATTTTCTCTTTTTACTTTAGAAATTTAATAAAGAGCCATACATCTCTCATTTAGATAAATATTTTCTATAGGAAGCTTCACAATATAATATTTGTGCATTTACATTACAGCCAAATCTGGAGTTAATTAACAAAATAACTTATGATAACAGTCCACAATTAGTACACCCAAATGTATATATTACAGAAAAATATTAAAAGAAAAAGAAGAGGAGCAAAATTCAAGAGAAACTAGAAAAATATTCTAGTTTGCATTTTATTCCCAATATTTTGCATAAATTTAAATGTATTATCTTTCTATTTATATTTTCTGACTTTTAGTAGTCATGTCAAAGCAGTAAGTAAATCAGCATACTATTATCTCAAAAACATTGCAAGAATCAGATGCTTTGTTTTCTAGTGAAGACTTAGAGAAACTTGTTCATGCTTTTATCAGCAGCAGGGTGGATTACTGTAATGGACTCCTCACTGGTCTTCCTAAAAAGACAGTCAGATAGTTGCAACTTATCCAGAATGCTGGGCCAAGACTCTGACCAGAACCAGAAAATCAGAGCACATCTACCTGTCCTCAGGTCTTTACACTGGCTCCCAGTTACATTCAGAATAGATTTTAAAGTGGTATTACTTATGAACTAGATCACACTATTATGTCTTTATTTTTTTCATTATTTTATAACATGTTTAACACATTTTAATCCTTTTTTATATTTTTAATCAATTTAATTTTTTGTTGTTTTGTACATTTTCTTGTCTCTTTTATTCTTGTTTATGTAAAGCACTTTGAATTACAATTTTGTAAGAAATGTGCTTTATAAATAAACTTGCCTTGCCTCTATTTTTATATTTGTTCAGTGACTAAATATTATTTTAATAAATATAACTGTTTAATAAATCGGTTTTGTTTAAATGCACCAAAATATATAACCTGAGAAATGGCTAAAAGTATTTATTTTCAAAATTGGGTGTACTCGTTTAAGTTAACCACTGTATGTTTTTTTGTAATCTAGTACTACTAAAAAAACTAAATAATGACCTTTTAAAATAGCATGATATGGCATCTTTAACAATACAATAACCATGCACTCACAAACACAACTTACAGATGCTTGAAAACAAATAGTACATATAACACTAATATGAATGTGTTCCTGAAAGGCATAATGAGGTGGGATTTTTTACTTAAAGCAGCTATAAATGCATGTGCTTGAGTGTGTGTGTGTGTGTGTGTGTGTGTGTGTGTGTGTGTGTGTGTGTGTGTGTGTGTGTGTGTGTGTGTGTGTGTGTGTGTGTGTGTGTGTGCGCATATGGAGCTAATTTAATAGAAGTGGCCTGCTGTCCTTTATGAATGTGCTTTCCTCTAGCTCTCCACTGTAATATAATTGCACAAATGCCCTTCCCATTCCTTCCCTCCCTCTCTTTCTCTATCGCTCTGCTCCTAACAGCCCCTACGAGACTGATCAATTGCCTGCACCCTGTTCTCCCTTTTGAGTCACTCAGTTAATTGATTAAATTAAATGGCCACGACAGAGAGAAACATGATATATGTACATATACTAGCAAATACAGTTCAAAAGTTTGGGGTCAGGAGGTTTTTCGAAAGAAGTCTATTATGCTAAACAAAAAATACAGCTATTATTACAATTTAGAATAATTTTACTGCTAATATATTTAGATAATATAATTTGTATGATGACTAAGCTCAATTTTTAGATGCCATAATCCTTGTAGAAATAAGCTGAATATGCTACGAGTGTTTTTTTTGTGATTCTGATTCTTTTTCTATTCTGATTTTTCTCGGGATCCTTTGACAAACATAAATCTCAAAAAGAACAGAAGTTATATGATTTACATGTATATAAAAAACTAAACAAACTGGCCATAAACCTTGAATAATGAAGATCTCCATGAGATACATTGGGGAAAATAAGTATTGGACACGACATGATTTTTCCAGATAACGATATTTGTAAAAGATTTGTTTACATGGGATTAAACCAGATTTTGGTAAAAACCCAAACAATACAAACATGATAATAAAACAAAACAAATCTGAAAATTAGTTATGTGTAATAATAATGAAATGACACAAGGAGAAAGTACTAAACTATTGAAAAAGAATCAGTACTTTAATACTTTACAGCTTAAGGACACCTTTCATATGGAGAATGAAGTCACATGCATTGCTCAGGTGTGATTTTCTTTTCCCACAGACTTCAACAGTGTAAAAATCTTGATGGTTCTGTGGGTTTCACTATCAATTCTGATCTTTATTTTGTATTCTCTATTGGATTAAAGTCAGGTGATTGGCTGGGCCATTCTACAGCTTGATTTTCTTTAAGCATTTGAGAGTTTCCTTGGCTGTGTTCGAGATCATTATCTTGCTAAAATGTGCTAAAACCCTGATTTCATCTTCATCCCCCTGACAAATGTAGATGTTGGGACTGAAGCAGCTAATATTCATTTACAATGACGAAGGGCAGAGGGTTGCTGTAGAACTACTGAGAGATTTCAGCTGCTGTCTGGGTTTTCACTGCCTTTCTACGCCTCCCTTGCTTCTTGTGTTCAATACTTTTTCTTTGCGTCATTGTATTTTATTACGCATAACTTTATTTGTAATCTAATAAGATTTGTTATCTTTGTATACATGGATTACTTTGGTTGTTACAAACATCAAGGGAAAGCTTCAAGTCAATGGCACTTTTAGAAATATGCTTTCTGAGGAAAAAGGTGAGGTGTTCAATACTTTGATAATACTTAGTGTTTTTCCCACTGTATATATAAATACTAGGATTGAGAAATTGTTAATTAATAAAAAGATTAATAAAAAAATTATGTGAACAGACTCCAAACTTTGAAATATGAGATGTAAAATACTGATTACTAATTAATTATTAATTTCAGTCATAAATTTGGTTATATTCCACAACAATCAATACAAGTTGGAAACTACAAATAAGTAAATATATTTACATTATACTCATATTATAATATATTATATATATTCCTCATTTAACGCACTTATTATTGTGCATATTTTAGCGTCATCAATCTTAGCCTCCCATTAGCCCAAGATTCCTTTAACTGTAGTGTTTAGACAGCTCGGTTAATTTACAGAAGGAAACCGGCCAGACTCTCAGTGTCCAAGCATGCACAGATTGAAACCCACACAGGCAAAGACATTCAGAGGGTGGAGAAGCAATCCTTAGGCCTTTTAACCACCAGTTTTTACGTCTAAATTTATCAAGATCTGCCGGACGCTTCACTGTGCGTCTATTAATAGATCACGAGGGTAGGGTTTCATGTAATTGGCCTCTCTCTGCTGACCGTCTGCCATTCATCTCTACATCGGATTATGACCTCACTGAAGCCTCATAACATTTACAGCATCGTCAGGGTTGGAGAATATTGCATATATTGTCAATAAGAGTTATTACACAACGAGTCGACGCTTAAAGGAAGACTCCACTTTGTGTCTTTAAAGGATTAAGGCAGTTCTAAAGGCAAAAGGGGGTCCAACTCGGTACTAGTAAGGTGTACCTAATAAAGTGGCCAGTGAGTGTATGTTGCTCTACATAGGCTGCAGCATGCAATGATATTACACAGTGGCTGAGAATATTTTTGATTCATTTTTCACAAATGTCTGCACAGCTGCAAGATTTTTAGGTGTTGTGTAATATCATAGCGCCTGCTGCAGCCATGGCACAGCAGCAAAATTGCTTGATTATTACGCCAGAATGAGTATATAGTTCCTAGCTGTATCAGCCTAGAAAATACTAAACTTTCATTTCCCATCGGTCTTAGTACACAAAGTAACTAGTCAAGATTAAAATACGAAAATTATCGGGACTCCTTTTTATTATTATTTTTAAAGATGCTAATAGGCTAATCCAATTTACTGATCTACGCTAAGCTAAAAGTGCTTCTGCCAGACCCATAGATTGGCTGAATGGCTTTAATAAAAACAGTGAAACTGTTGATAACACTTTAATTTAGTTCACAATTCACGGTATTAACAAACCATTTAATAACACTACTAACTTATTTAATGGCTTATTAGCTGTTTATTAATAGTTAGTACAGTAGACAATGGGCTTATGTATTAGGTATAATTAGGGATGCAGAATCCTACTTTAGAACTACTAATAAACAGTTAATATCTTAATAATAAGCAGGTAATAAGCCAGTAGTTAATAGCATTAATTGTGACCTAAATTAAAGTGTTACTAAACTGTTTAACGGCAGGGGCTTTGTAAATGGAGTCTATTTAAAATAAGCTTAGCGTTACTTTAAGGCCTCATGTGGATGTGAGGGCTGAAATTGGAAATTAACACTTTCTTAGATGTTAGATTGAGTATTCAGAAGCAACAGCAAACATTTCTTGTAAAAACACAATACAGGGTTAATGTGTGAGTTTATAAAAGCAACTAACAGAGAACCACATAAATCCAAAATAAGTCTGATTTGTAATTTTGTAATTGGACATGGTGTCATTTTGATATGAGATTTAAGTCGTCTGACATTTGTAGGGCAACCTATAAAGCTGCTTCACCATTGGTTCCCTCTAAAACTAAAAGTGTTTTTAGAAGTGTTTTTAGAACAGTGACATTTGATTTATGATTTAAATAAGGTCTGTGGTCATCATTACTTGAAATTCCTTTGCTTTTTTGTGCAACAAGACAAATTGCACACAGTAGAAGAGTTTTTGTTTTGTGTCAAAATGTAAAAGTTGCTAATCAAGTATTGTTATAAACTTGAATGTTTTTAGTGTTCAGTTGTTGTTTAAAAATTGAAATATTGTAGCCATTTTTTGTTCTGCAGATAATTCAAATGAAAACTGATTAAATAAAAATTAAGTCAAACTTCGAAGCCTGTAAAAGACGGTAAAATGTAAAATAACATTTTAGGAGCTATCAAAATAATGACATTATTTCAATTTTAGCCACCCCAATATTCAATAAAATACTGTTTATGTTCCTCTGAAAACAAGGAATCCCAAGTTCAGGATGAAAAAGGCTATATTTGGATTTTTAAAAAAAGTTGTCCAACACTTCTTGCATCTATTCCATTGTATTAAAACCTATTATTTATGATATGACTTTTTTTAAAGTTCTCAATTTTTACCATATTAAAATAAACAAAGGATTTTTTTTTTTTTAATGAGGCAACAAATTTATCGTTTTATTCTGCACATAAATAGGATAATTTACTAAAAAAGAAAGTCCATCTTTAAGGTCTGGCATGTAAAACTATTTTAGCAGCTATACTAACAATAGAAAATGATTAATTTTTTAATAATTTTAGCCAACCCAGTGTTCTATACATTTCTTTTTATGTTGTACTGAAATAAAGAAATCCATTTAGGCTTGGGATGACAAACAGGGCACATTTGATGTTGTGTGTGTATGTGTGTATGCAACGACACAATTTGCTCACAATATGCATGCCAAACATGAATTTTGAAAATGTCATTTGCTTTCATAATATTTCATTATATAAAACTTAATAAATTGCGCTATATTTTTAAGTATTCCGTGTTTCTTAGAAAAAAATTAAACAAAAAGCTTTTTTAAAAATGAGGTAACCAATTTATCATTAGCATCTGTACATAAATAAAAAGTGAAACGGACAGAGGACATGTAAAAATAAGGCTCAGTTTTCCACCATCACACATCTCTTACCTCCTCCCCCTCATCCACCTCAAACACTTGGCTGGGAAGCTTTTCCGTCTTCATCCCTTTACTGCAAGACAGAAAAAGTAGCTTACGCCAAACTTTGGAAATAGCACTGCAAAAGCTTTGAGAGAAAAAAAGCAAAGTTTGGCATACCAGGGCAGCATCCGGAAATCTCCCGAATAGGCTTCGTAATTATAGTTGATGACATGCCAGTTGGTGTTGTACATCTTAATACACTGCCAAAGAGCATGAGTGTTGCTCAGTTACTCAATCACATGGGCAGAGATAAATATGAAAAACAGGAAAATGTGACCTCATATTTTTTAGACTGGAGCTGCAGAATTTTGCTTTTGCTTTGGTGTTTGGAAGTGAGAAATTTTGCACTGTATTTACCTCTTTGGCGAACAGGCTTTTAGCTTCGTTCTCAGCATTTTGAGGAACTGAAGGATTGATGGTTCTCCTGTGACGATCAATGTGTGCCTCCTATGGATTATATAAACAGATAGACAGATGCATGAAAAAGATAGACAGATAGATAGACAGATGGATAGACAGACAGACAGATATATATAAATAAATAAATAGACAGACAGATAGATAAAGAGATGTTATATCTGTCTGTCTTTATCTGTCCTATCTGTCTGTCATTTTATTAGTCTATCTAATTCTACTAGTAATTCTATTTTTATGTTTGTATGTATGTCTGTCTATCTATTTATATGTCTTTGTCTGTCTTTCTGTTTAACTATAAATGTCTGTCAGATAGATAGATAGATAGACAGACAGAGAGACACAGATAGAAAAAGAGACAGACAGACATAAACAGTCAAACAGACAGACAAGCATATAAATAGACAGACAACAGATAGACAGACATATAAATAGACAGACAGGCAGACCAGCATAAAAACAGACAGACCGGCATGTAAATATATAGAGAGACGGACGGACGGACGGATGGACAACAGATGGATACACAGACAGACATATAAACAGACATATAATGGACAGATATACAGACATACATAATTAGATAGACAGAGACAGACAGACAGACAGAAATATATAGATAGACAAAGAGAAAGACATATAGACATACAGATATAGATAGACAGACAGACATATAAATACACATACAGACAGACTTGCAGACCGACATATAAATATATAGCGAAACAGACAGACGGATGGATGGATGAACCGAAGGACAGACAGACGAACAAACGGATGGACAGACAGACGGATGGACAGACAGACAGACCAACATATTTATATATAGAGAAAGAGATACAGACAGACGGACAAAGGGACAGACAGACAGACAGAGGGACAAACAGAAATATAAACAGACAGACATACAGACAGACAGACAGACAGACAGACAGAAATATATAGACAAAGAGAAAGACATATAGACATACAGATATAGATAGACAGACAGACATATAAATAGACATACAGACAGACTTGCAGACCGACATATAAATATATAGCGAAACAGACAGACGGATGGATGGATGAACCGAAGGACAGACAGACGAACAAACGGATGGACAGACAGACGGATGGACAGATAGACAGACCAACATATTTATATATAGAGAAAGAGATACAGACAGACGGACAAAGGGACAGACAGACAGACAGACAGAGGAACGAACAGAAATATAAACAGACAGACAGACAGACAGACAGACAGACAGACAGACAGACAGACAGACAGACGGACAGACAGACGGACAGACGAACAGACAGACAGAAAGAGGAACGGACAGACATATAAACAGACAAACATAGAAACAGACAGATATACAGACAGACAGACAGACAGACAGACAGACATATAAACAGATAGATATAAAGACAGACAGACAGACAGACATATAAACAGATAGATATACAGACAGACAGACAGACAGACAGACATATAAACAGATAGATATACAGACAGACAGACAGACAGACAGACAGACATATAAACAGATAGATATAGACAGACAGACAGACAGATATACAGACAGACAGACATATAAACAGATAGATATACAGACAGACAGACAAATAAACAGATAGTTATACAGACAGACAGACATAAACAGACAGATATACAGACACACAGAAGGACAAACAGACAGACAGACTGACTGACTCGCTGACAGACAGACAGACAGACAGACAGACGAACGGACAGCCAAATAAACAGACAGACATATAGATAGACAGGGAGACAGACATAGACAGACAGTCAAACAGACCAACATATAAATATATAGAGAGAGAGACAGAGAGATTAGACAGACAGACAGACAGACAGACAGACAGACAGACAGACAGACAAACAGGCAAACAGATATAACAGCTTTCAAAGTCAAGCATGTCAGAGTTGTACGGTCTCTGCAGAAGGATGAAGAGTAAGTTTGAAAAGGAGCCAAACAAGTAAACGTCAGGAAATAAAGCTTGTGAAACGACTTACTGATACGTCATCAGCTGGCCACAGCAGCAGGTCTCTCTGTGGGTCACTGTGGATTTGAGCTTTCCTCTGAAACACCACATTCTCATAGTCCAGAGGCTCAATGATCTTCGGCTGCTCCTGAACACACACAACATGCAGTCTACATTACAGTGGCCCTTTAAAAACTCTGTGTGACTCATGGTGCAGAAAATGTGTCGAGTTCATGCTGCTACTGAACATACACTGTTGTTATTATTCTGTATACTTATCAGAGTAGCTTACAGTGATGTGACAGCTCTGTCTTTGAATACAACAGAGAACTCCATTCCCCTCGGCAAACAGATCTGAAATCTAGGACTTCCGTTTTCTTACTTTTATACTTTAGAGTATTCTTTAAAGCTTTCTCATAAGTGTTTTCTCTTTTCAAGAGTATCATGTGTTAAAGCTTAAGCACACAGTCCTGACTCAGCTGACATGCCCATGTCATGCTCTGATACTCATTCAAGAAGCTCAGTCCATGGAAGAGAAAGTGTTTTATCCAAAATAAACCATGTGAGATGATCAAAAGACATGGAAAGTGAAAAAGATTCATCTGAACGACATATTTAAAGTCTGTGTAAAATCAAAATGTATGCTGTTTATTTTGATAACTCACATTTTTATTCTCAAAGCGGATGAATAATCAGTGCAAGCTAATCCACTAAAAAAATGTTTGTTTTGGTAATCTTCAATCAAATCTGGCCATTTACTTCCACGTTTGGAGTGCTGGTCTTTTTGTTGACGTCTACCTGAGAGCTTCCATAGCAACTGCACAGCAATATACTTAACCACCTTTCTCTATTTTTTATTGTGAATAATGCAAGCATATGAAATCACATTACAGCATAAAGATGGAAATGAAAAAATATGGAAAAATAAATAAATAAATATCCAAAATAAAGATATAAAGAATGGATATATACATCATCGCACATTAAAGAAAAAGATTATATTTTAATAGTGGTGGGCCGTTATCAGCGTTAACACAGCAAGACTTTTAATCGCGCGATAAAAAAATATCGCCGTTAATCTATTCTCAAAGTTGGGTCGGGAGCTGGGTCAATTCTACGCCAGCTATGATGACTTTTACCTTGATATATTATAGTGCGGATGTATACCTGATCAGTAAGCCATCTGACAAAAAAGTGCCCTTCTGAATCAAATCAGTAGGATGCCTGAATTTAACTGCAGTTCTACATTTTCACTTTAACTCACAAACATTTCATTCATGCCCCGTGACAAACTGGGGTATTAGATGCAAATAAGGAGTAAGGACTGGTGAGAGTGTTATGGAATTTAATAACACACGTCAAATGGAAAGAAAAAAACTTCCACATTTCACGATGTGTGTGTGTGTGTGTGTGTGTTTGTGCGCCTGTGTGTCTGCGGTCCTTTACTGACAGCTGCGTGTGTGGATCGTTTATTTTCATCACTAATTATCATAGTAGAACAGTTTCTCAAGCAGTTTGTGATGCATTGTGGAAACAGCAGTTGAGCCCCTGGACTAATGGCACCACCTGGCTTAAGAAACCCATTCTCAAAGACTTATTATTTGGGTAGCACACATATTCTGAATGCCTTCGCCAGAATTTAAATGAGCCATTTTAATCTAGATTAATTACAATGATAATCTACATTTAAAAAAATTATCTATGCCCACCTATAATAATTGACAAATTTCAGTTGTTTTTAAAGCCTTTTTTAATAGAATCAGAAATAGTTTCAAAGTAAAAGTCTTTGCACACTGAAGTCCGAAATTTTCTAATGCTTTTTTTTTCGTATTCATATGCGAAAAATTCATCACGTAAACAAATCTTGCACACTGAGTCCGATACGCATTAACTAATCGATTGCTAAAAAACGCAAACTATTTCAGAGTCAGTTTAAGCAGTGATACTTATTTCACCTTTCTTCTCCAAAGAAGAAAAGAGGAATAGGCTACATGTTGTGTTCATCCAATACTGCTTAGAGAGGAGAGAGGTCAAAGATCTGCGATATGATTATCCCAAAATGATACATTTATTTTAGGAAATCAGTGAAATATTGATTTATTGCTGCTTGTGATACTTCGCATACTACATACGTAAACAAGTCTTAAACGGAGACTTTTGCAGTACCAATAGACATTATAATAGATGATGGCCACGTTGACGTGACGAAGCAACACTGTTTTTGTTTTTGCACAATGTTTGTATGTAAAGTTATCTGTAGCTCAAGTGTTGGCATTCTGTATTTAGCTTTTCGTTTGTACGGTGGCTTTGAATTGTCAAAAAACCTCTCAAAGAGTTTTTTCAGATGCAAAAATCGGGGGTAAAAAAAAAAAAAAAATATATATATATATATATATATATATATATATATATATATATATATATATATATATATATATATATAAAATATAATTTTTTTTTTAATGACAGACGAAAGTTTCGGAGTCACACAACGTGAGATCGAATAAATTTTTTCTTGTGAAAATTACAGACAAAAATTTCAGAACAAAACAAAACAAAAGGGTTTGAACAAAAATAAGAGTTTCCGTTGGGCACTGATTTTCACAGACACAAGTGACAAGGACAGTGACTGTTTACATGGACATCAGTAATTAAATTATTTGCCAAATTAATAATTTATCGACTCTAACTGCAGATTGGCACTTTCATTCAGGAACATTTCATGTATGCCCCCTGTGACAAACAAGATATGGGATGCAGGAACTGCTGGAAGAGTGTAGTTTAAATGGAATATTTGATAAAGCACGGCGAATGGGAAAAAAAAAAAAACCTCTGCATTTCTCAGTTACTTAGATGCACTCGGTAGGTACCAAACGTATCTCTGTCGCATGCACTGTAGTCCATGCGTGAGTCTAGCTGTGCTCTCACAGCTGGAAAATGAAAACAAAACCTTTGTTACCGCACATTTATAAACGCAGCACTGACGACCCATGTCTCTGAACAATTCTTCTTCTTCCACTTGTTTTGGTAACACAACATGGCGTCTCTTTGCCGTCTGAACACTGTAACAGGTAAACACTGTGAAGGTCTTCAAAGCTCCATCAAACATATTAATGAAGTTGCACTTCATTCACAGAAAAGCACTCAGATTGGTTTAAATCAAGTCTTTTTCATGAATGAATGGAGCACACTCAGAGACGTCACGATGAACTCGCAGGTACAGACATCCAGTCTCCACGCTGAAATACACGCAAGGATCTAATTGGCGTGACGTAGCTTCAAAAATGAGTTTCAAACTGGAAGAACGAATTGCTCAAAATAACGCAAAACAACCAATTTTCACTTTTTTGTGAAATATATTTGTCCTTATAGTGTTTTTAGCAGCGTGGGACTGTCACGATCGGTGAGGGAAAAAAGGAGTGCAGACCCAATTGCAGAAAAGATGTAGAAATATTTATTATAAACTACAAATAAAAATAAAAGGCAAAACAAAACTACCCCGAAGGGGAAAACATGAATTAAAAAGGCAAAAACAAACTTGACAGGGCTGGCAGGACAAAACAGGACTGGAGACAACAAGACAAGGTAATATCGACGACGAACTGACAAAGGACTGAAAACATGAGGGGGATTATAAAGCAAAAAGTAAATTGACACACAGGTGAACACAATTAACTAATAATGGGTTAACAAGGAGGGTGGGACTAGACAATAGACGGGAGAGCGCATGACACAGAGAGACAATACAAGCCATGCGCTCACATAACACAACACTGAAGCACACGACAAAAGCACGTGACCACAATGTAAACACCGAGCCACGTGCTTTGACAAAAGATGCAAGACACGAGCACACGATGAATGAAAACACTCACCATGCGCTCACATATGCAGCATGCATGCTTCATCCCAGCGCCGACCAAAACCGAAACCAACAAGACTGAGACGCTGGGAATGAAACATCATGCTGCTGACAGACGAAAACACAGACACGAGTACAAGAGCGCACGCGTCTGAGGGACGCAGAGCGCGCACGCGGCCGCGTCAAGCAGGAGCGCGCACACTCTGCGTACACCCACGACGGCGCGCGCGCACACAGAGACAGAAACAGGACCAGACACGAGTAGTGTCCGAGATCTGCCACCAAAACAAGAATTTACAAGATCAGAGTGGCAGAACCCTGACAGGGACACATATATGTCAACAGTGTTCAGACTGTCAACAGCTCCAAAATGTGTTTTGGTGTGTTGTCACCTGTTCAGTGATAAAAATATTTACATTTATATAAAAAAGGTTTTTGGTTTGTAAATGTACATTTATGTGTAAAAAATGTTGTTTTTAAAATAGCAAGATTAAGAAAATAACTGTGCTTTTTATGCAAAGGCTCTGTTTTGCAATCAACAAACCCAAACAAAACATTCTCCTACAGTAAGGAGATGTCTTTATCAATGTTCTCAATTTAAAAAAAAAAAAAAAGTTAAAAGTCTTCCAAAAGTAAATAAAAAAAAATGCATTGCCAGATTAAATGAACTAGAGACTCTGGTAGGGATGTAACGGTATCAGAATTTCACGGTACGATAATACCTCGGTATGAATTTACAAGAAAAACAAAACTAATGAAAAGACTCGAAAAAAGTGCCAGAAGTGATTATTTGCCTTAGCACTGAACATATTAATGACATACAAATTAGCCATCTATCTGTAAGTTTCGAAACAGGAACTTCAATTTTTCAATTTTAATAACAAAAAACTATTAAACTATATAAAAAAATAAAGTTTCAATTTATTATTGTTGAAAACTCATCACATTTAACATTTAATCACTCACTCACTTAGATAGAGATGGGTTTTTTAAGGAAAATTATCATATAACTATAATCAGGTAAAAGCTGGGATCTCTGGGCATATCCCCTGCAACAGAAAAAAACCCTCTCATTTGGGACTGAGGTTTCTGGGAGGTTTCTATCTCATGAGTGAGATAGAGGTCTCTTTGCGGTACAAGTCAATGTCTGCTTTAATCTAACAAGTGTGCTGTGTTCTGCAGTCTCCATGACTGTTTTTAGTCGTATTCCCCGACTTATATTTCACCACAGTCTGGCAGTGCCTGCACACTGTTTTTTTCTTTGTCTGTCACCGTTTCTCCTTTTT